CGGCCCTTCTTACGATTAATTCCCGAGGAAGTATTCCAAAGGTGACTACTGGATACCTTGTCGTCCAGGCGTTCATGAAAAGATCTATGGGACAAAAAACGTCTGAGAAGCAGGGGGAAACCTCGCGAGTGTAATGTGTAAACGCACTCTGCCATGTCAGGATTATTCTATGCCGAAGATCGTTACTAAATGTCTCAACACAAAAGAGGAGATCCGAGTTGTTTAAGTGACTAAATGATTCAATGACCCAAGGTTGATCGGTGTTTTCTGAATTCACATTGGATTCGAGTTAGCAAACTCCTCGACTCTAGGGCCCAGGCGACGGTGGTTTACCATACGCTCGAAGATTTTACCGACACAGCTCATTATAATTGGGCGGTAAGTTGCCGGTAACGATTACCTTCTCCTTTCTTACGTATGAGGATGATGGTGGCTTCCCATTATATTTTTAGAATGGTATGTTTGTACCAGATTCGATTGAAAATATTACGGAGGAACTGCTTACCTTGTTCTGGCAGGTGTTTCAGCATCATGTTATGTATCCGGCCTGCTGAATAAGATATTTGTCGGGCACAAGTGAGGTACACGGAGTCTAACCCGAGGTTCCAGTGACAAGGCGGTATATGGGCGAGCACGCACAGTCTCCCATTCCCTTCGACAGGGTCGCTTTGCACGTGAAACACATGGGTGGGCGTTGAACATACAGTGAGGTCCAGTGAAAAAGAAAAAAAGGCGATAGAATGTAGGTGCCATAAATTAAAAGCAAGATGAAAGATGAAGAAAGGAACACTCGAGGGCCTTATCTGCATCCTCCTGTAGGACGTGAACAGACCCACCTCGACGGGAAAGGGTAAATTTAGCTTTGTCGCATTTGCTAAAGCACAATTACCACGAGCTACGTCTCCATCAAAAGCAAATAGGTTTACCAAAAGCCAATTACATGTGGTTCACATGGATGTGAACACCATAGCGGTAATTTCCAAAGCCGGAACATATTATTTTCTTCGAATTTTAGATGATTTTACGAGAATGTCTTATGGCAAAGAAAAATTAGGCATTTTACAAATATCTCACTTGGAAAGCTAAGGTTGGGAGTGAGCTGAATGAAAAGTTAAATGAAAAGACATTGGACTAAGAGTTTTGCTACAGCAATTCTCAAAAGAATTGGGAGTCTGAAAGCATCATGCAACGGACAAACGTAGAATGTCCTGGGATCAATGGTATAGCAGAAATATTCAATAGTACGTAAAGGAGGCTGTTACTGTAACTTTCAGACATTCCCAGTTATCAATTGAAGTCTGGGCGGAAGTTTTGCTTGCAGTAGCGAAGAAATAAAAAAAATCTGTCGCCCTCTTTCTGTGATTAAGGGGGAGATTCCATTCCGCCATTTAGATCGACCATGCTTTTTCGGTTCGCTATCGTACGCAGATAGCCAGTTTGGTTGGTCCCGGAATAATAATGCATGTTTTATCACAGATGGCGGTGTACTGCCACCTCCACTGAATGGTGAGATCCGGCGCCGACCTACACGCCGGCTTGGGGGGGTTCCCCATCCAGGTGTCTCCCAGCCAGGACAAGCTTTAAGCTCCCGACGTGTGGCAGTGTAGTCTATTAAGTGTAAGAAAGGGATGCGGATCAGGCAAGGAAGAGGAAGGAAAGATCGCATGCAGTCCATGGTCCGTTTGTTATGGTACTGCTACGGCTTCCGCCTGGTATTGATCGGAGTAACCACGGAAAAATAGAGGCGCCGACCAGAGAAGCCGGCCGCTATAATTATTTTCCATTCAGCGGCTGAACTTGATCTAGCTATGTAGCTAGTGTCTAAAATCCTGCTATCATCCTGAAACCGTAGGTAATGTAATGACATCAGTTGATGCTTTGTGCCAACTCAGCCGTTCTAAGGATATCAGACTTGGATACTACGGAGGATAAAATTGAGGAAACTAAGGTCAGAGTATTTTGGATATGTTAGATTATCCAACTTGTATGAAAAGTGAACTGATGACACTAACTTATATTTGGATATACTTACAGTATCTCGAGTCGATTCTGACAATGAATTTAAAGGAACTGACATTGTTTCTCAAGTAGAAATTCACAATTCACAACATTTAAAGCAGTATACAAATATAAAAATTCCGTCAATGGTACCGTCAACCAAAATACCTATACTGCCTTCTAGAACCCCATTTAATAAATATTAATCTACAGCAGGTCTTATTCCAGCTCATACAATTAATTGCCAAAGACCTATTTTACCTTGGATATGAGGTAAATATTCTGGTAGAAAGGGTGTTCACTACTACCCTGGTGAGTCTCATAAGATACTGCAGTCTTAAACCATTATAAGAGCACTGTAAAAATAATAATATAGAATATCTATCTGATTGGCAAGATTTTAATGGTAAAAATGCTCATTCACGAGGCATAGTTATAAGATCAGGTTCTATCCTATAGTTCTGATGAATATCTGAGTAATGCCTTTTATGGATGTCATGCTTCTGACTATCAATATTTTACGTTGGCAAATTTGGTCCCAGAGATCCATTCCAGGGTCTTATGACAAAACACCATGTTCACTTAATAAACAAGACTGGAATAAGGCAATACTCAATGAATTTGATGCCACTGTGTCTACAAAATATTTTTGAGGCCGAAAGATGCCAAAGTCTTGGGATCACAATGCATTGGGGTACTCAAAGTTGATGCTACATGTGTTTTGAAATGGTATGAAGCCTGGAATTTATTTTGAAACATTCTCCTGTTGATTTTGTTTTAATAAATCATTATAATTATATTCTGTATCATCTTCGGATGGAAATCCAGGCAATTGGATGTAAAATGTGCAAAAAATAAAAACAATATATGGACTCCACCGAGCAGTCCATAATTGGACATAAAGAACAGCACAACACTTTGTGTACAATTGGATTTACTAAATTTCCTTATGCTAAGTATCTATAGTATACCTACAGATAAGATACGATCACAGTGGTTTACGTTAATGATTTAGTCATCTTTTCCTGTACCCAATGGATTTAAGAACACACAGTTGAGGTCTTTCCATCAAAACTTGATTTGCAAAGTTCCAGGTCTACCACACCTCTTTCAACAAATCAACACTTGAGGATATGACATCAAACTCTGGAAACAATGTCATAAGAGACTGGAAAAACAATGTCTTGTTCAGTTGAGTTGTGGAAGTATTGAACCAGTTCCCCCAAAATATCGTATCATCAGAAAAAAGTTATTTTTTGATCATACCTATTCAACATTGAGATGATGATACACAAATAATGCAAGTGCACTTCATATGGTATTGAGTACAAAGTTGGGTGACTACAGAAAATGCTACAGCAGTCATTTTATTTCTGCAGTTACAATGCAGTAACTGTTTGAGCAATTTGAATATCCTCTGTACATGAAATATGAGGGTCATTTCAGAAGTCATGGCAACTATTATTAATAGTTGCTAAATATTCCGAATAATGCATATGGGGTTATTGGACTATATACATTTGAAAACATGGTGCACACAGTACGGAATGTAACCACCAGATGACATCTGAGTGCATTGATGTCTAGTAGATAACACATGCAAATGTTAGCTTCCTCGAGACTGTGTTCTGAGATGGAAGTCACTAAAGTTGAACAGCGAGCATATGTAAACATTGCATTTCTGTACAGAAATGCTCGTGAATGCCATGCGGAGCTACGAGAAGCATTGGGTGATAGGATGTTGCCCTATCAAATTGCTGTATGCTGGATGGAGGCCTTCAAATATGGGCACATAGCAACTGTTGACCTGCCATGCAGTGGACAACCAGCATCTGCTCACACAGAGGTTCAAGTGGCTGTTATCGAACACTACTTAGCAGATAAAATGGTTGGATTGTGGTAGAATTAGTTGCATATTCGGTATGTCTGCATTGATAGTGTTCCGCATTTTATGGAATGACATAAAGATTCGTAAGATTTGTGCAAAGTGGGTGCCACATACTTTATCTGAGGTGCAAAAGTGGACTCGATACAAGACATGCTGTATCAATCTGGAGTGATTCCAACATGAAGGAAATAAGATGTTGAATCGTATTATTGCAATTGATGAAACATGGGCACAAGTGTATGAACCAGAACTAAAAATCAAACAAACAAGAAATGCCTCAACACCCTCCATTTCTGCCTCCATCAACAGAAAGCTGGTTTCATCACAATTATCAAATGTCTTGTGTTCAACCAACATCATTCAAACAATAGCTGGTCACACTGTTAGTGTATGCACAATATTTCTCTGAGATGTAATGATTTATTAATTATTTTTAAAAAAATTCATAAACTACTGAAGAATCTAGTCATTTTTAAATTTTCCAGTGTTTTAATTCTAGGTGAGTCTCCATATTCCTTGTACTTCATACTTGTTTCTTTTCATCACCTTAACTTCAATTTATTATGATGAAATTATTTGTTGTATTTTAATTTAACTTTTTTAAATTGTATCTTGTTTTTAAAAGTTTTGGTTTGTCATTGTCTTTTGTTTGTTTGGCTTGAAGTGGTAATAACAGCTCAGAAAATATGTCCTTTTAAACTTCATGTTCATGAAATAAATCACAAAACCACTTCTAAAGTTACTGATAATCCAGAAGGAAATTTATCCCAATAGTTTAAAAATAGACAAATTACTGTGATTAATAAAACATACAACTAAAACAAGAAATAAGTTATTTACATTGTTGTGTACATATTAGACATATTTTTTTTGGAACAGTAGAGTATGAGCTTCAGGAAGTCACATTTATTACACTCGCTCAACTTATCTCAGATTTCACAAAAGATGTTACACTTCACATCTTTCTCCTATTAAGTAGATGAAGAGTGGCTATACTACATTTTCCTGCTCACCACACATTTCTCCACATATTGATTTCAAAAAACATACCAATTTTACAAAAATTCCAGTCAAAAAACACTTATAATTACAGATCAGTGATGCAAAATCTTACCTGGCAATAGAACTGCGTACAACAGGAGGAAGTTGTTGGGGATCACCCACCAGAATAAATTTTTTAGCATGAAGTAATGGACCCAAGATAACAGGCTGCAAGACCTGCGTGCTCTCATCAACAATGCATACATCAAAGGAACGGCGTGTGAACATAGCATGCTTTATTCCCAAACATGTTGCAGCAACTACAGTCTAAACAAATATTTTCATCACATGAAATGTATAACATTATTATTCAATATTTAAGAAATAAAATAGATGTTAGGTCTTAATTACAAAGTAAGAAATCACCTGTTTTTTATATGTGTCCTCCAGCTGTTCAGGAGTAGAACAATGTTTGGTCAGACTGTGTTCAGTCCATGGATGAATAGCTTCTTGCACACGCACATGTGATCCAATGCGCATAAAAGGTACTTCTAGTTTTAAGAGCTTCAAAAGAACAGTATCTACAGCAGAATGTGTGTGTGCTGTCAGAAGCACAGACTGTCCTTGAGATACAAACTGTTGTATTAAAATAGCAATGGTGGTTGATTTTCCTGTAAAAAGGGCAAACCATCAACTTCCACATATTTCATTTGATGTCAAAGAGTATAATTAAAGGGCTGAGTGCAATAGGGATACCCAAGGGTTGAGTGCAATAACACCAGACAAATGAGTTATTGACACCATTTCACCTAAGAAAGTGGACTATCTTCATACATTGTTGGTGTAACCAGTTTTCGTCTATGAAGTTAAGAATGAAGCTACTATTTTTTTCTCTTTACATCTCTACCTGCCATAACGACGTAAATTTAACTTTATTTTTCTCAGTTTTCTTAAATTGTGGCCCAGACAACTATTGCGCTGACGCTTCCAATTTAAAAACAAATTATACAGGTAATTAAGAGAAAATGGAATTTTCAGCTGAGCAAAATTTTTTAAATTTCATTACAGAATCAGCATATATTTTTATTCTGTCATACATTTTATTTTGATTGTTCAAATTATTTGTTCTATGAATATTCCGATGTTAAAATTTGAAAGTCCTGAGAAATGCTCCAGTATATGTGTAGAACAGTTTGTATTTGCTAAAATAAATTTAAAAAAAATATACAGGATCAGCAAATAAGGAGAAAAACTATTTTAATTACATATAAATATATTTGTTCTTTAATGAATAAATGCTGACTTAAGACCACCTACAAAATAGTTACTTATTTAAGAATAAAAACAAATTGAATGTAAATAAACGGTGTTGTTCACTATTCAATATCACTCTTCCACATGTATTTAAACAAGGCAATGATGTAAATTTTATGGCATGTAATTATTTAGTTTTGATTTAAAATGATGTCTGAGCTAACAATGACATCTAGATGATGATGATTTTGATGTTTCAATTAAATCTTAAAACCATCTTGTTACAAAGTTGGTAGATTGAATGAAGCAAGTCTTTCCACATACGTATCTTTGCTGGTATATTTGTTGCTCTAGCTTGTACTCTTTTCAGGACCTCTATGTCAAAAGCTAAAGTAGGGATGTCTAACTGTGCAAGCATATTCTAGGATTGGTTGAACGTAAACAGTATACAGATTTTCTAGAATAGTGATGAAGACACATTTTTTTGCATTTAATCATTAAATAAGTCAGAGAATTAGTTTTTATTTTTTAGTTATAATCCTGAAATTGTTCCTCCTTTTTCAGTAGGATGACGAGAAATTTAAGTATCAAATAACAATGGGATATTCATCAGTCAATGCATGCTGCTGCTACCAGGTACTCACTGTGATGTGATGTTTGTATGCAGATGACATACATTGAAGCTGACACAGTTAGATACCGATACCAAAACGTTTGTTCAGATTACCTTTGGATGGTTATTGTTGCATAAATTAACATTTGAGAACTTACATTAAGCAAACAATCTTATCTAAGAAGATATTTTAGCAAGTACATATGTCAAAGGAGTTTCAACAGGAAATGTTGAATAGTTACAAATCAAGGAAATACATTTAAGTTATATTACACACTCACACTGCAAAAACTTGCATAAACTTCCTATAATGAACTCTTACATTTATTAACTCCTTCAACATTTTGTAATTCTTTTCTCTCACACAATGCGTTCAATATTCTGCACAAATATCTGAGAACAACTTAAAACATGTGAGAAAGCTTCTCAGTCTCGATTTACAAATTTTCATAGATGAGATACAGTTTCTGGGGAATGTTTCTGTAAATATGAAGTATATTGTCCTTGTGTTGAAATGTTCCCTTGAAATCTGAATTATTTTGAAGATCTAAAATTTCCATCTGTAAATCATAACTTACACTAGCAGCATTTATTATAATAAAGCAAAACATTTTGATATCTGCTTTCATAATCTGAAATTTTGTAAAATCTATTTAAAACTGGGTGTGTGACATTCGCAACACTTCTACATACTCATCTAAATTTCCAGAATCCACAGAACTAATTACTGACCAAATTTCAGATAGAATGCCATATTTTCAACCATCAAATATGTTTTGCCCATGACAATTTCATCTTAAATGTTTGTGTTTTATTGAAAACTAGAGGACCTGGCAACGCTTCGCTATTGCAGTGTATTACAACACATACTACTGGTCACGTGACTGTTAATCAAGTTTTACAATATACTGTATCCTGGTTTGGACATGGTAGTAGTAAAGTATCCTATAGTTAAAACGTTCTCCCTCAAATTAGGGCATGTATTAACTATGACACTATCTTGGAGAAATTTGATATACTTGTATGCTTCCGAAATTCAAGTAATACTTCTGGTTGACAGGCTGGTATTTCACAATTGCAGAGGGCAGAATACTTGCATGCAGTGAAGACACGCTTAATCCTTGACTGTGCGGTGGGTTGTGTAGAGTTGCTTGAGTCATCATAAACTAATAAATCATCAGCAACACATGTCCGATTTAACTCAAACCACTCTCTAAACACTTCCATAAGAACAAAGTATGAAATATTCAGCAAATTTGAAAAAAGATTTCAGTTTTCAGCATGATTTGGACAAAGTTTTACTGCTGCAACTACCATGCTACTTTTATGAAAGCGCCTTCAGTTCATGGCTTTAATTGCATAGCAATTCTTTGTGCAAATCTATAGCTTATTCTTATTGATGACTCACTTGAGCCTTATTTTTATCCTTCAAGAGAATCAGTCAAAATATTAGAGGATTAGAACCTTTCATGTTTCACTAATCGTATCCCAATGCATTAAATCTAAGCGGGAAAATTGAAAACTAACGAAAGAAACGGCAAGAACACACCAAAAGAATAAAGATAGAATGTTCTCAAATACAAAGCAAGAGGAAGAAGAGACCCTGACAGACCAAGAACGCGCTGGGAAGATCAAGCACGCTTTGGAAGCGACTGAGGGAATATCGATGAAAACAGGTCAACAGACCTATACCTTAAATGTTCATCATTACAATGCATTATCATTAATTTTATTAAAATGTAAACAAATAAAATTAATACAAGTCGTTATTGCTTTATAATTTATTTTTACTTATCCTAAATTGGACAGGTTTTGTTCCAAGCATTGTGTGTGTGTGTGGGGGGGG